TCTTTCTCGTACATAAATTCAATTAATAGTAATTTTTTATTATCTTGATTCAAGACCAGTTCAGCTGTTCCCATTCCCAGATTGGTTCTGTTAAACCATCAACCATCTCTGTATCCAGAAAGAGATCGACATGTTCTCCTCCTGATATCGAAGTTTCCGGTGAGCTTTCTACACGAAACGATGATGTTTCAGCTGCTGCAACATCACTTGTAAGCATTAATCTCTCTCTCTGAAAATTTCCTATAGGACGTCTATCGAAAGCCCTCGAGCTTCCTGATGTTACGTAGACACGACATAAACTGAATTCATGTCTCAACTACATTTTCAAGATAAAAAAAAAAAAAATCCATTAAAAACTTTGATCAAGAATCTTTTAGTTGAAAGATCAAGAAAACTTTACAAATATATATATATATGCAACCTTAGGGATCGTGGAGACGTTGACTGTTTCGTCAACGGATTTGTACTCGTTCATCTTCCACTTTGTTTTTCTTCCCGTAGGTGCTTTACCAATGTAGAAAACCATAGTTTTCTTGACTCCAATCATTCGGTTATCTTCAGAAAACACTGGACCAGGTGAACCAGTCGCTTTCCAATATCCTGAATCTGTGGTTCTGCTCGGTCTACCTCCTCTTGCTTCGCGTTCTTGTCTTGGTACAAAGAAGAACCATTGTTCAGCGTCTCCTCGACATCTCTCTCCTGCAACATCTACGTACACCCAAAAAAAAAAACCACAAAAGAGATGACTTATTTGTAAGTTCCATATATATACACCTGTCTAGGATTTATAACGTTATACCAATATAATTACCATATAATGTAGTATTTGTGTTATTTACATATTATAGACCAGTTCTATATGAATAAATTTGTTTTTATTGAATAAATGAAAATTGGGTTGAATAACCACAAAAAAGAACTATAACTAAAAGCCTAACTATTTAACCTAAATCTAATAGACATGTTTAGGCCACATAGGCTAATTTTAGTTAGTTTACTAATCATTATTTTTTGGTTAATTGACAAATTAACCCGAGAAAAATATGTGCATAATTCGAAACTGAGTCCAAATTAAATCGACTAAATCGATCTAACATTAGAGTTGGTTTTAGTATAGGAAAACAAGAAAACCGAATAACCCGAACCAAATCTATATATGACATATATACAACACGAAATGAAAATGACTACGTACTATATAAAACCATACGTATATTAACTATTATACTCTTACGACTTAAATACTACGTACGATGATGATATTGAGGCCAAATAATGGACGTTAACGTTAACGTACTTGGAAGATGACAAGGCTCGATCTCAAAGACGTCTAAAACGGGAATAACAAGGTGCATTGATTCATCGATCCTTCCTTCGAGCTGGTTTCGTAGGTAGAACGTAATCAGTTCATCTTCCGTCGGATAGAAGCGAAACCCAACTGTAAGTTCCTCCGACATTTTTTGTATTATGTGGTAGCTAGATATGTTACAAAAATCAAAGAAACCTCTTCTTGTAGGTATATTATTACAAGATCGATTTGCTTCTTAGATTTAGAGGTTGTGGACTCATTGGCATTAAATAAGTTGAAGTAGAGATTGGTTTCTCCGAGTGAAATGAGAAAAGTTCTAACGCGTTTTTAGTTTTTTAGATTTTTTTTTCCTATTTTTGTACGGATCTTGGGAAAGATAATGATCCTTTTTTGTGTATGATTACTTTCTAATGTGTTTACTGTTTAGTTGTAGCTTTTCACGAGACACGTACGCTCATTGAACGAGTCAAGCCCTCGTCTTGGCGTCAAATTTCGATCTCTTTTCCCTTGGTGTTTTTGTTTTCTTCCTATATATCTTTCAATTCGGCTTGCTAAATTTAGAAATAGTATTTTTCGAAGCACGGTTAATTTTCTGATGTTTATTTTTTAGAGGACAATCCTTTGTAATTAAATACGGGCCGGTAAAGAGTTTAGAAATTTTGCGAAGCTAAAATCATTTTTCAAACTCTTACTAATTTATGTAAAGATATAATTTGGGACAAGTATTTTCAGTTATTCGGATAAGAAAATTATTGGGTCAGATTATATGTTCCACATTCTTTTTTCATACTCATTTAAATAAAATAAACGGTCCCAAATATATAATTATTTGGAAAAACAAAAAATCAGACGGAAAATTTGGGATGGGATGAGAAAACGAGACGAGTTTCTCGTCCCAAAATAAACATGTTTAAGTAAAATAGAAAGAGGCGGTATTGTTAAGTTAAAGTATGTACAATAATTCTCATTACAAATTGATTTTCATATTTTGAACAATTAAATATTTTTGATTTTTGATTTTTTT